AGCCTGCTTCTCCCTCTCCCACTCCCCCTGCTTGTGTTCCCCCTCTCGCTGTATCTCTCTCTGTCAAATAAATAAAATCTTTAAAAAAAATAATAAAAAATAAAATCACTATTAAAATTTTTTAATGAAATAATTAAGTGTATGTGTGGGGGGGTGTTTGTAATATTTATAAACAAAGGGTAAATACTTCTGTGTTTGTTTACCTTTAATAGTCAAAGAATTCTTGCCAATACATAAAAAAATAAATAGCCATGTAGAAAAAGCACAAGGACTTTCAAGAAGGAGGGCTAAAGATAACTAAGGCAAGCAATAATCTCAACTTCAAAATAAAACAAAAAACCCCTAAGACAATGACACATCAAAATGTGGGGAAAAAATGGAAGGTGAAAAAAGTCCCTCACAATCAGCGTTGGTGAAAGCACCTGGTTCTTTTGTAAGTCCAGTAACACAGCCTTTTTGAAGAGCAAAGGAGCATTTTCAGTATGTGAAATGTATATACCATTTCACTTCCCAAGAAGTCATACTTGAAAAGATATTTATGCAGCACAAATATATCAGTTTTCTGGCAGCATCAATTTGTAGCATCAAAAATTGTAAACACCTAACAATCTATCAACAGGGAACTGGAAGAGGGAATGATAGTACATTCTTAAGACCTGCAGGGTCACTGAAAAGAGTAAAAGTCACTCTACTCCTGTGCAAAGGTGCTAAAGAAAGACACTGTTAGTTAACTGAGAAGAGCAGTTGCAGAAGATCATGTGCAACATGGCAGGCGCTGCATGTGGACCAATCCTGGGTGGGGGGCAGGCCAGTGTGAACATACCCAAAACACCACAGGCATGAAATAGGGGTTTGCAATGAAGGAAAGGGGATGGTGTTCATTTCCTACATTCTACATTGCTATGTTTTATTTTTTATTGTTAGGAATGTTTTACTTTGGGGCACCTGGGTGGCTCAGTCGGTTAAGCGGCTGCCTTCGGCTCAGGTCATGATCCCAGGTTCCTGGGATTGAGCCCCACATTGGGCTCCCTGCTTGGCGGAGAGCCTGCTTCTCCCTCTACCCGTCTGCCGCTCTGCCTACTTGTGCTCTCTCTCTATCTCTGTTAAATAAATAAATAAAAATCTTTAAAAAAAAAAAAAAAGAATGTTTTACTTTTAAAATCAGAAAATAAAGGTTTTGAGTGTACAGTTATAATAGGAGAAAGTTACATTCTGCTAAGATGTTTTTAAAATGTAAAGCTCTGAATCTCTCCAGTACATACATTACCCAGATTAGCCCAAATCCCCACCAAAATGTAACTGTTCACTATATTCCAGGTCACCTCAAAAAGATGACTTAGGGGCATTCAGGACCTCAAGGCATGTATGTGTCACATTAAGACGTAAGTTCAACAATATGAACATTCTTAAAGTTGCATTTAAAAGGAAAACATGGGGGCACCCGGGTGGCTCAGTTAGTTAAGTATCAGACTCTTGATCTCGGGGTTGTGAGTTCAAGACCCACGTTGGGCTCCATGCTGGGCCTGGAGCCTACTTAAAAAAATATTAATATAATAAGATTAAATTAAATTAAATAAAGGAAAACACAGCCAGAAAACTCCTTAAAATGTAAAATAAATAAACAACTGCTCAAATTATTTTCTGTTGCTATTCGTTGTATTTCTGTTAGTGGAAGAACTTAAAACTTTTAAACTTCAGCCTAAAAGTTTCCTTTCCCAGATGAGGAAAAGAATATTTGAGTTTCAAGACACATTTGTTTTCACAGGACTTGAAACCCAAAGGAAAACATACCTTCTAAGAGCATCTCTGGAATGTCTGCTTGATATCTAGGCCCCACTCTGATTTCACCTTTGTCAGCTAACAGTGTTTTCACTGAAGGGTCATAGACCAATGAGTAGAAAAAGGTGTCCTGAAAAAAAAATGACAGAAAATATTTAGGTAAACTTAATTCCTTCCACTTTTTATAAAGCAATAGGCCAATGTCATGATAATGAAACCATAAACTTCAGAGAGTAAGATTTCATTTTGGTGAATAAATTCATAGATCTTGAAGAAAAAAACGATGTTACTGTCATCATGTAAAACAGCATAAAATTAAATCAAGCAAAAATAAACAGCTTACAACAAAGGTAGACTATAAAGCTTTGTTGTTTGTTTTAGTCTAAAAGAAAACCATGTAATTGCTCTAAAACAAGATTCTGAAAAGCTAGCAAAGCTAAGCTGTAAGTCAAAGTAAGTCACCTGAAATCGAGCAATCATTTCAATCTCTAAAGCCCACACCAAACAAATAATGAGGACACCAGGCACCGTTACTTTTAAAGTGTCCATCCACATTTTATCAAAATGATAGAATGAATACACATCTCACATTAAATAAAGTTTAGAAGAGTTGAGCTTACACGCAGTTTACTAATTAAAATGTCATATTGTATTATTTAAACATTTATTAATTCTAATCCTGCAGTTCTCTTTTAAATCCTGAAGCACTCATATTTATATATAAACAGGTATATATACATAATTATACCTACCACTACCAGTACACCCACTAACTTTTCAAGGTCCTTTAAAATGCAAAAAGGGGGCGCCTGGGTGGCTCAGTTGGTTAGGCGACTGCCTTCGGCTCAGGTCATGATCCTGGAGTCCCGGGATCGAGTCCCGCATTGGGCTCCCTGCTCAGCAGGGAGTCTGCTTCTCCCTCTGACCCTCTTCCCTCTCATGCTATCTCTCATTCTCTCTCTCAAATAAATAAATAAAATCTTTAAAAAATAAATAAATAAATAAAATGCAAAAAGGCCCTAGTTACTGAGCCTAAAGGATAAAATGGCCAGGCCACCAGGCCTTTGCTGAATTCTGCATGTCTTATAAAGTCTTGTCCCTGCTTCCTGCTATGACTCTGAGGGTCATCTACTGCATGACTCTCTGCATTATATCTTGGAGGGGCCTGTTTCTGCCATCAGCACTTTACCAAGACCCTGGTGAGCAAGCTGCAAATAAGAGATAACCTGCCAGACTGTAAAGCTTTCTCCTTTCAGGATGTTACAGACTGTGATAAAGGGAAAGGAGAGAACTGGACAAGGCAATACCATCCCATCAGAAACTCTGCACTGTGTTTTAATCATGGGTCACTGTCAGAAGAAAAGCTTAAACAATAAAACTGCTAAGAAAACACAACAATGTGACAATTCATGCATATAAAAAATGCTACCTAGGGAAAAGAAAAATCTGCAGAATATATAAATCAACCTGCTTAACAGGTTGATGGGGGGTGATCAATATGTAATCAGAATTATGTGTTTCTGAAGACAGGAGCAACAAAGAATGTTAGTAGGTAACTAGAGCTAAGATTTTATTTATTCATTTGAGACACAGAGATACAGAGAGAGAAAGCATGAGCAGGGAGAGAGGCAGAGGGAGAAGCAGGCTCCTCGTTGAGCCAGGAGCGCGACGTGGGGCTCGATCCCAGGACCCTGGGATCATGACCTGAGCCGAAGGCAGATGCTTAACCATCTGAGCCACCCAGGCGCCCCTGCCATCAGCTTTAAAAGAGGACACACTTCTGGTCACTTTTATTCTGAAAAATGTTAACATAGTGTTCTATAAAAATAGGAGTTTGCCATACTTGACAGTAAAATGAGATGAAATTATTATTTAGGGTCACACAGGTTGCTTAAGACTCCTTAAATCTGGGGTGCCTGGGTGGCTCCGTCAGTTAAGCGACTGACTCCTAATTTCAGCTCAGATCATGATCTCAGGGTCGTGAGAACGAGTCTCACGTCAGGCTCTGTGCTAAGCGTGGAGTCTGTTTAGGATTCTCTCCCCCTCTCTCTTCCTCTGCCCTTCCCCTTGCTTGTACTCGCTCACATGCGCTCTCTCTAAATTTATATGTGCTGCCTGATATGGGGAATTGTTTAAAATGTAAATATAATTTTTCAAGAAGTAAAAAATCATGATTAGAAAGTTATCCTTTGAGTTACCATCTTCAAATATGCCAATCTCAGTATTTTAAAACCAGACTTTCTCAAGGATGGTCTTATAACAGATAAAGCAGTAAAAAGTTTAAAAAAAAAAGTGTTTTTCAAATTGAAAAAAGAATATAACATAAGCAGTTTTATTTTTACTAAACTCCCTCTGAATAAAAAAAAGTTTCCTCAAATACACTGCCAGAGACGTCAGTTCCTCTCCCAAAGACTGATGCAGGACCAAGTGCTTAAAAATCAGTGGACAGGAAAAAAATCCTAAAGACCTTTGCAAATTTTCATCTCCTACCATCCTTAGCATATAGAAATTGCTAATAACAAATTAGAAGGCAAAAATATCACTTTTTAAAAAATCACACTGTTGGGGAACCTAGCTGGCTCAGTCGGTAAAGCATGTGACTTGATCCTAGGGTTGTAGGTTCGAGCCCCACGTTGGGTGCAGAGATTACTTAAAAATAAATTTTTTTTTTTAAATTAAAAATTAAGGGGCGCCTGGATGGCTCGGTCTGTTAAGCATCTGCCTTTGGCTCAGGTCAGGATCCTGGGGTCCTGGGATCGAGCCCTGCATCGGGCTCCCTGCTCAGTGGGGAGCCTGCTTCTCCCCCTCCCTCTGCCTGCCACTCCCCCTGCTTATGCTCCCTGTGTCTCTGTCAAATAAATAAATAAATAAAATCTTTAAAAAAATTAAAAATTAAAAAATTACACTGTCTTAACAGCCAAATACACCAGTTAAATACACTGAAACATACTCAATGTTTCCTCCTTTTATTTCTGCTTCTGTGAACTAAGGCTAATTTCTGAGCATTATCTTTATGCATATATTATTATCCATATGCTGCCTGACAAACACTACTACGTTCTTTTCTAAATTTCATACGTGTAAGTTATAAAGACTATCAGCATTTTTTTCTGCCTTGAATATTTACTTCCTCTTAATTTTCTCTATTATATTTTCTAATGTACAATAGTTTCACTTGTCTGCATCAATCTTTTGTAGTTATGCTTTCTTCATTTGAGATGAGGGGACACTTTTAAGTATAATAAAGTTTTTTTCAAAGAAAATATATCCCTTTAATTCTTTAAAAACATACACACACATATATAAAGTACATATACACACATACGTACAAAAAATAAAGATTTGGGAAAACAAAAATACCATGAAACTATAAAGGTTAAATACTAAAACATCAACAGTAGAAATTTTCCCGTTGTGGAATATTCTCTTTAGAGGAATTTCCTCCCTTCAATGAAGCATATGCTCTCATTCAACTTGTTAAAAAATGTTTAAAATGTTTCTTGTTGAAGTTTACAGAAAGAAACATTTTTAGTTGACAACGTTTATTGGGATTTTAGGAAAGAAAGCAGACCACCATTTAAGATCTCATCTGGAAAAAGTCTAAAAGAAAAACTGTTTATTTGAAAAACAACAAAAACAAAAAAACAGGGTGGAGTACCAAGTATACGAAAGTCACTTGTTTCATAAAGCCAAAAATAGTTCTACTACCGGCTAAATCATCATACTGTATAAAGCCTTTCATTACCAACTGGAAAAAAAACAGAAGTTTTTGCCAAATGTTACCTCAGTTAACCAGAAAAATAAAATTATCTAAATGTATTCTAGTCATTATACTTTTATATAATGCTGCTCTCCTGGTGCAATAATTTGGTGCAAGAAGAAATAAACTCAAAGGTATGGGCTTCATGTGAAATCAGGGGGAGGCACGAGGGGGACACAAAACAAGTGTAATTGTGAATTACCTCTTTATCAAGATATGACAATACTGACTCTGTCTCATTCAGAAGGGCAACACTGCATTTTCCCCTGTTGAAAGAGGGAAAAAGTGAATAAATGTAAGAAAGGCCACCTCACCGTCACAGTGATGACACATACAAAGTTAGGAATATGCAGAATGTAAAGTTGATATTAAGAAACTAGATGGCAATTAGGAATATACATAAACGTATATACTTATATTTGCTTTACAATCCTGGTGTTGCATAACCTAATAAAATAGGGCTGTCTGTAGGTATTTACTGCGAGGCTAACCTGTGGAAGGAACTGTGGTAGGCAGTAAATCTTTAAAACATAAACACTTGACAGGTATTTCCTATTACAGAAAAAAAAAAGGGTTACAATGAAACCTTCAAATCAGAAGTGAGTTTCTGAATCTATAAAGAGTTAATATGAGGCGATTTTATAAAAAGAGACTTTAGATAGACTTCACTGTACAAACCGGTACCTAAAATAATCTTTGGATTTTTTTAAGTAGCCAATGCATACGAGAACCTAAAAATAATACACGTTCATATCAAGATTAACTGACTTACCTTTATTGACATTGCTCTAAAGCCTAGTTAAAATTTAAATACACTGCTATAAAGTAAAGGGCAAAATAAAGATCTACAGATTTACAGACCCTGCAGTCTGATGGCATTTACCTTTGATCATAGCCCTGGGTGTGAGTTTGAAAATGAAGGTCTATTTAAAAAAAAAAAAAAAAGGCTTGTCTAGACTTGAGAAAAATTAAGGTTATCCAGGTAGAGGCATTTATTACAAACACATTTATAATTATTCTCACTAGCTTGAAAAATTCTGTAGAGCCACAAATTTGACAGGAGAGTTTTGATAGATGATTCAAGTTCTAGATAACTGGTCAGGACTCACAAAATATTTTTTAAATGTCATAATGTCATTTGATTTTGTAAACAAAGGTCACTGCTTGCTCCCCACAAAAATGACAAGCAAAAAAAAACCAAATACATCACATATACATTGAATGCGAAACTAAAAGAACAAGCTGTTGGAATATCAGAGTGGAAAACAATTCAAAGGAAAAAATTACCAAAAGCAAAACAAAATGTAAAATGCTAACACATAGGTCAAAAATTACACTTTACTAAACATTTTGCAAATGTACGTTCCTTACATTTGAAAAAAATTTTCCCCTCATAAAAACATCTTTTTCTGGTAATCAGCTCTAGTTAATATCACTTCAAAAGACTTCTGAGAGCATGTGTTCTTTCCATATTACCCTGTCAAGTCTCTAATTTGCTTAGTGAGAGTTATAAGGGTTTTTGGTTTTACTAATTTTATTCGTGTATATTACTGAAGCAGAAAAATTAACATGATTACCTCAGAGCATATAACACCGCTCACAGTCCACAATTACCTGACAGGCTCTTAGGAAGGACAGAATTACGGGTGGGGAAACTGCTCTGCTGAGGCTTGCACCATCTATAGCTGCCACGGAAAAGCTTCCATGGCCTGTGCATGTGTGCTCCTCACACGTGCAGCGTGCATACGCACCAAATGGGCTTTCCAAAAATAGGCTTCAGTTACTTTTTTTGCCTAACAGCTGACAGAGCAGTATTTCTAACATTTAATACTTAATCACCTAGAAGAAATAAAATCTTGGGTTTTAAAGTTCTCTAAAGTTGGGTGTGTGTGTTTTTTTTTTTAATGGAAAGGAGCAAAAGCTGAATGTTATTTTAATAGATACCACTTTCTTTAAGAGCCATTTGGATGTTAAGGGTTAACAGACAGTGAAAATTCATACAAACAATACAGCATTAGTCTCCTCCATACCGTCTGAAATGACAAGAGGATTTAAACAGAATCATCAAACCATTATTTTCATAATTACAATAGGAGATAACGAAATGCTGATCATATACTGTTTTAGAGATACAACATGATTACAAAATCAAGAGGATACCCAGCCAATCTAAAATATAAATTATTTGGGGGAATGTAGCTTTTATGCAAAGATGAAAAAATAATAGGTGATTTAATTTTTAAATTTCCTTTACTGTAGCTATGAATTTGCTCCCAAATTAAAAATGAAAATCTGACACTTAAAATATTTAAGTACATATACTAACAGCTAACAAAGCAGGAGATTGAGTCAGAATTATTTTATGAAGTAAATATGAATATGTAATTAACACATGTACTACCACGCCAAGAGTTGTTGATAAAAGTAGTTTAAAAAGAGACTTAAGGGGCGCCTGGGTGGCTCAGTCGTTAAGCGTCTGCCTTCGGCTCAGGTCATGATCCCAGGGTCCTGGGATCAAGCTCCGCATCAGGCTCCCTCTGCTCCACGGGAGGCCTGCTTCTCCCTCTCCCACTCCCCCTGCTTGTGTTCCCTCTCTCTCTGTCTCTCTCTGTCAAATAAATAAAATCTTAAAAAAAAAAAAAATAATTAAAAGGGACTTAAAGTGCTGGTTTCCTTTATGCTGAACAAATCTTGGCTCACAGAAAAAAAATATGATAAATTTTAAGCTAACCCCAAACCAAAGGAACTATTATCAAACTGTAACATAGATAACCCAGTTGGTTGATGCTGAATCTCAAGCAATGATCCTAAATGTTCTCTTCCACCACACTTTAATCCTTAAGGAATAAGATATCCAAACATGAGGATATAAATATAAAATACATTAAAGATCTTAACACAAAGAAAGATCATTGCAGGCCTATATAATTATTCATACTGCTTTTCTACAAGGAACTATACAGCAACACAAAATTTCCATAGAGACAACATACTTTCCCACTGATCATTGAAAAAGATCATACTCTGTCTGCTTCAGAGATTGCTCAGGGTGCTAGGATAGAGAGAGATGTGAATAAATAACTATGACACAACACAGTCCCATGTTTAATGCCAGGTACTGATCGGCTTGCTATCTGCTTAACAGGATGTTCAGTATCATGCTACAGACTCAAACACCACATGTAAAAATGTGCACACAGGTTATATATTTCTTTTATTTAAAGATGTTACCTATTTGTATAAACGAAAGAGGAAGTTTTAATGAGTATCCATTTCCCCAGCGCCTGAAGACTCTGGGTTTCAGACCACTGCAGCTTGTAGAATGGTGTAGGACCACTAGGGTCCCTGCTTAGGAAAATGCAAATTTCTTAGTGCCACACCAGACTTACTGAGGCCAAATATCCCCAGGAGGGATCAAGAAATCCATTTGGTTGATAAGTATCACCAGGTGATCCTTAGTCAGATTTACTGAATCCAAATATCTCCGGGAGGGATCAAGGAATCTACATGGAAAACAAGCATCACCAGGTGATCGTTAAGCACAGTGAACTTGAAAACCACTAGTAAAGATGCAGGGTCTGACTAAACACATTCCTTGTTCAATGAAAGACTATGTTTTCATTAAAAAGGGTATTTTTCAGGGTGTTTGGGTGGCTCAGTCAGTTAAGCCTCGGACTCCTGGTTTCGGCTCAGGTCATGATCTCTGGCTGGAGAGATGGGAGCCCTGCAAGGGGGGGGAGGGGGAAAAAAAAAATCCAGGCTCAGCAGGGAGTCGGCTTGAGGTTCTCCCTCTCCCTCTGCCACACACACACACACACACACTCACCCACATGCGCCACACACACACACACACACACACACACTCACCCACATGCGCCACACACACACACACACACACTCTCACCCACATGCGCATGCGCATGCGCACATGGGCGCACGCGCTCTCGCAAATAAATCTGTTTTTAAAAAGGCATTTTTCTCAATAGCCTTGAGTCTTACAGTTGCTCTGGATTCTGGACATTTTCTCATATAAAAACAATGCTGGGAGGCAGCTGGGTGGCTTAGTCCTTAAGCGTCTGCCTTCAGCTCAGGTCCTGACCTGGGATCGAGCCCTGCATCGGGCTCCCTGCTTGGCGGGAAGCCTCCTTCTCCCTCTCCCACTCCCCCTGCCTGTGCTCCCGATCTCTCTCTCTGTCTCTTTCCGTCAAAAAATAAATAAAATCTAAAAAAAAAAAAACTAATCTAAAAGAAAGGCAAAACAATTAAGTTCAAGGAGAGCAAAAGGTTGTATAAGAAAGAATACGTGGGCAAACCTTACGTGTTCATAGGGCGCCTGGGTGGCTCAGTTGGTTAAGCGACTGCCTTCGGCTCAGGTCATGATCCTGGAGTCCCGCATCGGGCTCCCTGCTTCTCCCTCTGACCCTCCCCCCCACCCATGCTCTCTCTATCTCATTCTCTCAAATAAATAAATAAAATCTTAAAAAAAAAAAAACCTTACATGTTCATAAAATACAATGAATGACTGTTAAGTTTAAAAAATGTTGTGATATACTGGGAAAACGGAAAGTTAAAGAGAAGAGAAAGTAAAGAGAGATTTAGAAAATTGAAAAAGTAATAGTAGCAGTGTGAAAGTGGTATTAATACAGAAGTCACAGAGAAAAGTCGAAAAGGACTGTGAAGGGGGAACTAGGCTTATGACTGCCTTGGATATTATAAGTGTATACATATATTTGACTTTTAAAAATAATATAAATTTAAAGTAAAAATGGAGCCTAATTAAACAAAGTGCATACATTTGTATAAATAATACATATACCAAGGAAGCAAAGATTATTTACCATGAGTCTACACCAAGTTTTCTCAACCTTGGCATTATTAACATATGAAGCCAGGTACTTCTTCGCTGTGGTGGGCTGTCCTATGCACGTAGAGTGTTTAGCAGCATCCCTGGCCTCTACCCACTGGACAACAGTAGTACCCCCACACCTAGCTGAGACAGCCAAAACTGTTCAGACTTTGTTGAATGGCCCCCAGGAGACAAAACAGTCCCTGGTTGAGAACCACTGCTCTAGAGTTGATGAACCACAGTTTTCTTTCTTTTTTAAAGATTTTATTTATTTGAGAGAGAGAGAGAGTGCGTGGGAGGGAGAGGGAGAAAGACTCTGAAGCAGAGTCTGTGCTGAGAACAGAGCCCAACGTGGGGCCCGATCCCAAGACCCCGAGATCATGACCTGAGCTGAAACCAAGAATCAGACGCTTAACCAAC